ACTACTGCGTAGAATTAATTGGAATTTTTCACACACAAGCCTTCCTATATGAGCTCTCAAAGCATATAAAAATTATACGGCTTAAATGTGAAGTTGGGTGCAAAAGAATACAATTAAATCCTCTGTCGGGAAAAAACGAAATGACTTTCCGAACAACCCTATACATCTAAAGATTTGCGAACCTTTTGAGTCATTTGAACCTAATCAGAAACATTTGAATATCGGCGCTATATTTTGCATATCCCCATATAAAGTATTTGTTTATTATACGAAAACGGTCTTTCATTTCCACAAAAAAAAAACGAAATGACTTTCCGAACAACCCTATACATCTATCCATTTGCGAACCTTTTGAGTCATTTGAACCTAATCAGAAACATTTGAATATCGGCGCTATATTTTGCATATCCCCATATTTTGTCATTCTGAACAACTTCTTCCTACAACTTCTTTTGATTAAAGTCAGTTTTGTTTGTCATTTAAACGAAACCTTCTTTTTTCTAGTTTTGAACGCTATGTAGTAAATCAAATTTAGATAACACAGGATTTTTTTCGATTAAACTTACAGTTTGCAATGCAGAAATTAATATATCGCGAACTTTTTCGATTGGAGCCATATTTTACACGGCTGACATATAAATGAAACTTGTTTTTTCTATTTTCGAACACTCTGTATATTAAATCAAATTTAGATGCTACCGACAACCTCGTATTAAAATTGGGAGAAAGATTTCTTTGAAAATTTTTTCGATTAAACTCATAGTTTGGTTGCAATGAGCGTAGTCCTACGTTTTGGGCCACAACGAATATTAGTGGTCGCATCAAAAGTAAAAGTATTGAAATGTACAGAAAAATTATAGTTGGCTGTAATTTCTGTTAGCGAACGTCATATCAGAATGTAATCAAACTATGTCTTTCAACATTTTTTTTTTTTTAATGCACAACTGAATTATTTTGTACATGAAAATTTATGTTAGCGATTTTATTTTTAATTATGTGTACGAATCCATTTCTGTCGATGACTAAGAAGGATTTTACGGATCAAGGGGCAAAACCGATTGTAAAGAATTTCATCCCTCAAGAGTTCAAGGATCCAATCACAGAAAGTTTTAAAAGTTATCTTACAGCAAAGGATGAGGCTACGGGCGAGGAAGAAGTTGTAGATGCGTACACATCTAAATTTTTGGAAGAAAATGAGACTATCGGAAATATTTACTTCGGCAGTAGATTGCTAGACAGGGATGTTGTTCTCAATGAGGCTGTAGATGATAAAAGGACAGTGTACGACATTGATTACTGCGACAAGGAGCTCTTTAAAAAATACTTAGAAGAAGAAGCTGAAAAGCAAAGATTTAGATTACCCGATGATTGGTATATTCCTCTTACGACTCAAAAAATAAGCTATAGAGAACCGTTAATGATGAGTTCTGATGCTTATAAACGTTCTGAAAAGAAAACTGGGTCAACATCTTTAGGAACTGATTCAAAAATACGTGAGATACTACAAGTAACAACGGGGATAACTGAATATCAAAGTATAATCGGACATATGGGAGAAATAATTATTAAAGAGGGATTACACAGAAAGCCAAGTTAAAACTTATTATGAATAAATACACCTATGTGATTGTAGGCAAGAACCAAAAATTATATCGAGTGAGCGAAACGTGGGGTTTTCTATTTAAATTAATAAATCAAGATTTAAATCGTAAAAAAACACTTTAGGAATAAAATAAGTGTTAATAAATAAAATTTCAATACTTTAAAACCCATTATCATCATAAGGCTAGTTGAACACGCACCTCATCCACTCCTTCCTTCTTCCATCCTGAGCGATTTTCGTATTTCTGGAAAACAAGAGCGACCTCCATCAGTAATGCGTCTAGGTCTACCTCTGCTCCTCTTAACTTCCGCCTTTGCTTCTAATATTTCTCTGATTGTCCTTTTCTATCTATAAAGGTGTCTTACCAACCTATCTTATCTACTTCATAGCGTTCACTTCCATAGCGCACTCTGTTCTCCTACTCTTTCCAATACCTCTTTATTTCTAACCTTTTTTATCCACGGAATTTTTAACACTTCCTACAAGGGCTACCAACTTTTTCTTTTCCGCAGCGCTCTCAGTCTACGTTTCATACGTTTCATATAAAGCCGTACTCCAAATATAAAATCTTTTTCGAATTTCTAAATGACCACAAAAGTATCGATGGTTTTCACTATAATAAAAATACAGGGTGCTTCAAAAAAATGTATACACACTTTGAACTTCCATAGAAAATTTATTTACCGTTCTACAAAGTTAAATTTCAGGAAAATAGAAAGCTGAAAGTCCAATGTAAATGAAACATAAATAACAAATGTTAATACTGTTCAAATTGGTGACCTACAGCATCAATACAATTCTGAGTACGAGTCACCACAGATTCTGTACATCGTATCAAAACGTCCAATGAGATTTCTCTACACACTGCTTGAATCTCATTCCAAAGAATGTCTAGGTTACGTGGTTTACGTTTGTACACCTCATCTTTTACTGTGCCCCACAAGAAGAAATCCAGTGGTGTAAGGTCTGGAGAGCGTGCTGGAAACTCGATTGGCCCCCTGCGTCCTATCCACTGGCCCGACAAATTTTGATCCAGGTAAGCTCGTACGTCCCTGTGATAGTGCGGCGGAGCACCATCTTGTTGAAAATAAAAATCATCATTACCGTATAATGCACGAATGGCAGGAAATATGGAATCAGCAAGCATTGTTAGGTAATTAATACCAGTTACAGTGCCTTCAAATCGAAAAGGTCCAATGAGTCCCCTTGAAGACAAACCGCACCACACATTTACACCAGGCAAATTTACAGCTTTTTCAATTGTAATGTGAGGATTTTCTTCACCCCAGTAAACACAATTGTGCCTATTGACAGTTCCATTAAGTTTGAATTGGGCTTCATCCGACCAAATGATGCTACCCATAAATCCCGGTTCACGTATCACGTTTTGATACGATGTACAGAATCTGTGGTGACTCGTACTCAGAATTGTATTGATGCTGTAGGTCACCAATTTGAACAGTATTAACATTTGTTATTTATGTTTCATTTACATTGGACTTTCAGCTTTCTATTTTCCTGAAATTTAACTTTGTAGAACGGTAAATAAATTTTCTATGGAAGTTCAAAGTGTGTATACATTTTTTTGAAGCACCCTGTATGTACTTGATCTACATTAATAGCCGCCGATTATGGGCGGTTAGACCATTGCTTAGCATTCAGAAGGACACAGGTTCTACTTCGGGTCCACCGGTCCTTGTCCTTTTCTGTTTTCTTTGGATCACTAGTTGGAAGCATCCTTGAAAATCATCATCCTCTAAATGGCGCGTTGTTGCAGGTTTCTTGGTGCTCACGTTCCCTAAATGCCACTAGCGAAGCACCATTTTGTATTTTGGAAACAGGAAAAAATCACACGGTGCCAAATTGAGCGAGTATTAGCGGATAGTCGATAATTATTAATTTTTTTGCCATAAACTTGCGAAAGGCATCACATTTGTTATGCCAAATCCGGACGAATACAGGTCACGCTGGCTCGACCACGATGGGAGGGGTAAATTCTCGTGATACACATTACCTTGTTAATAAAACAAAATATCAACATGACACTTACGTTCGACCATTATTTCTCAGCTTTTGTTCATTCTGTCTTGTTTTCTCTCCTCTTGCTTTAAGATTTCATTATGAATATTATGAAGCGTCTTTTGCGATAACCCTGTTAAGAAAACCCGACTTGTCCTCAGCAATCCAATCTCTCTTCTCCCCTTTTGTTCCGGAGACAGATGCTTAAGAAACATCTTTGCTCATAACTTTTCCCTTTCCAAATTTTAAATTAGTAACGTTCGAACAATCGTCTTACTTAGATTTACTTCTTTTACAATCATTTTCGTGGTTATTTGGCGACCTCGACTCTCATTAGACCTAAACGATCTGCATTTTGGGAGAAAAGGTAGCTGAAGGTAGCATCTTGGGCAATAGTTGTCTTTGAAATCCTCCTCGAACTTGTATCAGCTATCCATTTACCTACGCTTGACTCATTCAAAGCGTTTATGTTTTTAAAGCATTATAAATATTATAATATTATAATTTATAAGAGACAGCTCCATGCATTTCTATAATGAAAATGGTAAATGCAATGTTTAGACAAATTTTGGAAAAACTAATTCAATCTTTTATAAACTAAGTGTCTAGGAGTTTTTGAAGTCGCTGATTACGATATTGAATTTATATTTTCAAAACTCAAAATGGCGGATTGAGTATGACGAATACCTTTTGGGAAGTATCATTGAAACTTTAGTTTAACTTTTCGAGTACGAAATTAAATCTAGAATCATTCAAGTAGATTATCAACTCATTCATCGACATCTATCCTCAGCTGAATTTTGCATGTTTTGATAGGCAGAACACGACAAAATAATTAACATACCTACGTCAGAATATGTTAGACCAACTGAATAAATTTTCTTTTACATACTTTTCCACAAAGTAATTCTCTATTTAAATTTCAAGTTCAATGTGAAAATGCCACTTAAACGTGACGTGAATATTGGACACTGAGCTCTGAACGAATATTCTACCAACTTCAGCAGTACAAATTACAAAACTAATTTTTTTTTCGAATTTTGGGTAGATTTTCCAATTTTTCGACCACTGTGTAGCACAACAGCTATTTTGTAGTTTAGTAAATATATACAGGGTGCTTCAAAAAAATGTATACACACTTTGAACTTCCATAGAAAATTTATTTACCGTTCTACAAAGTTAAATTTCAGGAAAATAGAAAGCTGAAAGTCCAATGTAAATGAAACATAAATAACAAATGTTAATACTGTTCAAATTGGTGACCTACAGCATCAATACAATTCTGAGTACGAGTCACCACAGATTCTGTACATCGTATCAAAACGTCCAATGAGATTTCTCTACACACTGCTTGAATCTCATTCCAAAGAATGTCTAGGTTACGTGGTTTACGTTTGTACACCTCATCTTTTACTGTGCCCCACAAGAAGAAATCCAGTGGTGTAAGGTCTGGAGAGCGTGCTGGAAACTCGATTGGCCCCCTGCGTCCTATCCACTGGCCCGACAAATTTTGATCCAGGTAAGCTCGTACGTCCCTGTGATAGTGCGGCGGAGCACCATCTTGTTGAAAATAAAAATCATCATTACCGTATAATGCACGAATGGCAGGAAATATGGAATCAGCAAGCATTGTTAGGTAATTAATACCAGTTACAGTGCCTTCAAATCGAAAAGGTCCAATGAGTCCCCTTGAAGACAAACCGCACCACACATTTACACCAGGCAAATTTACAGCTTTTTCAATTGTAATGTGAGGATTTTCTTCACCCCAGTAAACACAATTGTGCCTATTGACAGTTCCATTAAGTTTGAATTGGGCTTCATCCGACCAAATGATGCTACCCATAAATCCCGGTTCACGTATCACCATCTCCTGAATCCATTCACAAAATTGCAACCTTCGATCTGGATCATCGTCATTTAGCTGTTGCACCAGCCTTGGAATGTAAACACGATACTTGCCTCTCTTCAGAATGCGTAGCACGCTTCTAGCACTTACATCACTTTCACGTGCCCCTTGCCTTGAAGATTTGTTAGGAGAGCGTTGAAACAGTTCCAAGACTGCCGTTGATGACTCATCACTTGTAGCTGTTCGAGGCCGACCTGAATGACCTTTATGCACATCACACACTGTTCCATGAACTCCGAATTTGTCTCGTATGCGTGTAATTGTTAATCTTGAAGGTGGTTCTGTATCATACTCCTTTCTCCACTGTCTTTGAACTTCATTTACATTCTCAAACTTCCAGTACCACTTAATAACCTGCTTACGTTCTTCAAAACTCAAACGTACGTCCCCCATGTTGATATTACAAATTCCAACTGATAATATAACATAGAGGGACGATTATGCTGGCACCTGGCGAAGAAATATACCATTAGCCTTGTAGAGCGGGAAAATTACAATAGTTTAAAGTGTGTATACATTTTTTTGAAGCACCCTGTATATAACATTTAAATGGCAAAGCAAATTATCTCGATAATGTTTATAACAAATAATATAATATTTCGTACAATACGATTTACTTTTACGAATTCTAAAGTGCGAATGATGATATGAAATTGACTACTATACAACAAAAGGGCTTTGTTGCATTCTTTTTTCTATTTACCTGCTTTTAAATAGGTATCTCATATTAACATTGCACGTTTTCATCTTCTTCATGCATTTGGTAAACGTAAAATATAGGTAGCATAGAAATTTATTTAATATGATATATCAACAAAATCATGTAAAATAAGTATCCTTAAACAAAATAATAAAAATAGGTGCATAAAAAAATTCCTACAAAATTATATCAATAACATTAAATAATTACAATGGATGACACGCAGGATAATTTCTTTTTCCGTGTATTTCTTCTTTTATTATGGTTTCGCCCATTTGACCAATATGAGCCCCATAATCACTAACACCGGTCGTTATTTTCAATAATCTACGAATTTCTGGATTAGGGACCAGATTATCCGGAGTTCTCCCTAATTTATCTTTTTCATAAACATTAGGATTCAATATGGAGGGATTTCTATAACTTGCTGTTTGTGTTGTTTGTGGAAGATTCCAATCCGAAGGAAGTCTAAACATTTTTTTCTCATATTCTTCCTTTAAGAATCTTTCATAAAGAGCAATATCTTCGTAATCTCTTCGATAGACTGTTCTCATATCATCTAGCTGACTGTTTTTGACTACTTGCTTATCGATAGTTTTACTAAAATACATTTCACCAATTTTCTTATTATCTGCCTTGAATTCCTCCATATATTGGTCACATGGTGTCATTTCTGGTTCTACTGGACTGTCTGTTACACTCAAATAATTTTTGAAACCTTCGTTGATGGGATCTTTAAATTCAGACTGAGCGATTTTACGAGGTTCCTGTACAATCTTTACGGGAATGTAATCTTTTTTGTATACCGTGAGAAATGGGTTCATGTTTCAAAATATACAAAAAAATTAAGAAGAAAAAGGTAAATTGACAATATATGTTTGTTATGTGTCAAAGTAATGTTTGTAAAATGCATAGATGGCTGTAGAGTCAATTGGTAATTTCAATTGAATAACTTTTTTTTATTCTTTTGGTTGTTTACTTTTTAAATTTTAAACTTTATCTTATCGAAATTCTTGATTCTATGACACGAGACTGAAGTGCGTCACAACAGATAGTTCATCATCATCATCATAAGGTTGTCACTCCTAAGGACTCCACTCTTTCCGATCCTAAGCTAATTTGCGGATTTCCGTAAAACTAGAACATTGCGAACAATAATCTAATCTAGTATAGGTCTACCTCTACTCCTCTTAACCCTTGTTTCTGCCTCTAATACATGTTTCTGACTAGGCCTTCATGCCTGAAAAGGTGTCTTACCAACCTATTTCGCATATTATTGATTTCCATAGAGTCCTCTGTTCTCCTATTCCTTCTAATACTTCTTCATTTCCAACCTTCTCTATCCACTGTATCCTCATGAAACCACATTTCGAAAGCTTCTAACCTTTTCTTTTCCACCGCGTCCACCGTCGATATTTTGCACCCGTTTAATGCCACACTCCCAACATACATCTTTAACAATCTTTTTCGAATTTCTAAATTAACCGTTCGCCAGCTCAACCCTGCGCTATCCTCTGATTTATATTCGTACCCCTGCCTCTTTTCTTATGTTATTACTACTGTACTCTACTTCTCTAAAATTCCTTTTAATTATATTATAAGCCTCATCCGTTTTACCTACTTCAATTTTTTCCTCTACTTTACACCTCATATCAATCCACTGTTCCTTAGCTGCCCTAATTATTTCCCACTCTTTCTCCTTATATCATTTTTGCCCTTCTTCGTCTCTCCTCCTTTTATATTTCCGCAGCATTATAAAAATTTAATATACTGCGAAGCCAACGTAAAAGAGAGTATCTAAAATTCACATTCATCAAGTGCCATGTTTTAATCCGTCAGTTCCCATTAGCTAAGATAGTCTAGACCGAAAAATCACTTACCTCACCGGGATTAAGCTCAAACTTTGACCATCCATATGTATCTACTTATTAATACAATTACAACCCTCTGAGATCGGTTGCAAAAATAAAAGGGAAACAAATTTGGATAGCAAATTTGAGGCACTTGGTTGACTCAGGCCCATTAGGATCTGCATGAATTTTGTACCAAATTACAGGTGATATAATGCACTTCTTATGAAAAAAATAGGTTGGCTAATGAAATAAGTTGCAAAGGTCTTGGGAGATCCGATCTTATTAGTGCTTTTTGTGGCACCTGCTTGGTTGATGGTAGATATGAAGTGAGTTTTGAGTTGATTGTTTAGTAAATTAAAGAAAAAAAAATTAGTAGGTAATAGGTAAAATTGAGAAATGATGTTTGAAGGTGTAGATCCTGATGAGCTGAACAAGTGCTACTCAAAATGAAGGTTGCAAAGACTTTTGAGGTCGTTATTTTTCATACGCGCTATGAATACTAATTTTGTACAAGATTCATGTAGATTTCGATGAGTTAAGCAAGTGTTTCAAGTTTGTCTTGCAATTTTCTCTCCTATTCTCTTCATTTTTGTAACTTGCCTAGACAGTTGCTATAGTACACACATTACCTGATTTTTATGATCCCAGGGGCTCATACACTTAACATTTATTTATACCGACTTGTAATGTAAATTTCCTATCTGAATAACATTGAACTTTCGATGTTAAATAATCAATTATTTATTCCGGTCAAAGTGATTATCTAAAGAATTTAAAACTAGTCAGACACCAACTTTACGTTATTTATGAGAGAAACCGTACCTAAACAACCATTTTTGAACTAAAAAACAATAATTTCAATTGCGAATAACTAGGAAAGCATTGATTTATATAAAAGTATGTGTAGCACATTTTTTGATTTAAACCAGCCTATGGACAAGTATTTGATTCAAAGACATTTCGAAAACAAATCACGTGCCGTTTCTAACACCCTTTAATACGTTTATTACGTGTGACGGGTTTTACACCCCTTGTGCTATTAAAATTTAATAAACACTAAATCCGGTAGATAATGGAACATCGTTCTCCTGTGTAAAAGGATTATTTTGCCGAAGGAAGCCGGAAAGCTAAAGCGTCGCGTCGTTTCTACAACAGGCACACCATTAGGGTTCCGTACGTCCGAATTAAAAACGGAACCCTTATAGTATCACTCGTGTGTCTGTCCGTCCGTATGTCACAGTAAATTTGCTCCGAATCTACTGGACCGATTAAGTTGAAATTTATTACACATCTAAATTTCTGTGACCCAAACACGGACGCATGCCGTAAATAAATTAATTTCGAATATGGGCGTCATTTTTGGGGGGCCAATAGGAAATTAAAAAAAAAGTTTTACAAACTATACCGTGTGACATATCAAATGAAAAGGCTTGTTGTAAGGGTCTAAAATATATATTTTTGGTAAAGGTCTAGATGATGGCCCCCACCCCCCAAGGGGGGTTGGGGGGGGGGTCGAAAGAGGCGGTGTCCCTCACCACTGTACCATAAAAAGTTCGTGGCGTTCTCACCCCCATAAAAAGTTATGAGAGTTCAAAGTTAATAAATATGCCAATTTTTATACATTTCTAGGCATGTAAATATTTATGTAGTCATTCTTAAACAATATTCAAAGGTAAAACTAATGAAAAATACATAAAAATATTGAGAAAGTTATATTAAACATTATTTAAATATCTTTATTAATAGGGAAGGTTAGGTTAGGTTATCGGGTTTTGTTCCAGTGACCACACTCTTTTGATCCCCCACCTCCACCCGCTTGAAAATAATTTTTTTATTGGATTTTATATGAGTTATAGTGTATGAAGATTGTCAAAATAATCAACTTTCAATCCCCATAACTTTTTATGGGGGTGAGACCGCCGCAAATTTCTTATGGGGTTTTACTCAGGTGACCCTCTTTCGATCCCCCCTACCCTCTTTCGATCTCCCTACCCCCACCCCCATCTAACCCTCATAACTTTTTATGGGGGTAAGAACGCCACGAACTTTTTATGGTACAGTGGTGGGGGAGACCACCTCTTTCGATCCCACCCACCCCTGGCCATCATCCGGACATTTACCAAAATTAATTCTTTTTATATTTTATATGTGTCGTCACAGAGTCAAAAAAGGTCTCATCCGGAAATATTACTGAAAAAGCTNCCCGAAACTGCTGAACCTAAAATTTTGAAAAAAATACAGAAAATAGTTCTTTACTTATAGATTACAGGGAAATTAATAAGAAGTCTGTGGCCTGAACAGAACGTAGTAAATCTTTCAATAAAACAATATTGTGTGTATAAATTTACATTTGCAGTTTGAATGTATGAGAGAATGAATGAATGTTTTTTTTTTCAACTACAATGTTAAGTTGGTTCTTGGATTTGGGTTCCACGCTTTCGAATGAAAAACGGGACCTTTATAGGTTCAATTGTGCGTCTGTCTGTAGGTTTTTATTTTAGATATAGGTACACTAAGTGTTTATTATATTTATTATGAGATCTTAATAGTGTCTTTGTAATTAATGAAGTGTAAATTGCTGTGTTATATTATTTAGCAATCGATAAAATCAATGTGTACAGAAAGATAGATTTTCCCTATTTCGGAGAAAATGATCGCAATTTTTCTGACCTAGATGTAGATACTTTGTGCGATGTTTCAACCGCAATGTTAGTGGTCGTACTTGTGCCTTGAGGGCCTAAGTGTGTACAATATAATAGTGTAGACAATAGAGAGTAACATTACTTTATTTTAACCTAGATTGCTATGCTCCAGGGTGAAGTAATAAAACTGAACTTCTTTTGTACCCGAATGTGTTTAATATTCAGTTGAAAAATCATGTTTTTACAAGTCCCCTTGTAGATTATTTTAGAATATTTGTTACCATCAGAGGTAGCAACAGACGCATACATAGAAGCGCAAAATATAATTTTTGTATGTTCCTAATATAAAAATTTTTTATTAAACAAAAAAAATGTGAGCGATGTACTTCATTCATCCATCCAAATAATTTTTTGAAAGAAAGCTCGGGTCTTATTGATTTTATTTAAAAATAGTTTCATTTTCGTTTCCAACCTCCTGGTCGAAACGATTGTATGTGCATATAAAAATATGGATGAAAACGACGTTTTTGAAGTGAAACTTCTATATCGAGCGGGGAGTCCGCTAGAGTCTCGGCGGCGTGTGCTGTGCTCAGCTGTTGTTTTCTTACTTCTGCTCTCCACGTGGCTGGGCATCATTGCCTCTATTTGCGGTCTGTGTAAAAATCAAGTCATAATTTGTAGTAAACCTGTGAAAACGAAATGTGTACTGGGACACTAGTAGAAGTGAAACTTCAACGGACAAGTGGAAAAACGAATGGCTACGCACAAGTTGAAAAATGAATGACAAGGAGAGGTGGAAAAACGAATCGCAACAAAATTTTTACTTGAAGTTTTACAGGCACGTTTTCAAATTGGACAACTACACTAACAATCTGCCCGTAAAACTTGAAGTAAAAATTTTTCGTTTTTCCACTAGTCTGTTGTCATTCGTATTTGCACTTATCCGTTGAAGTTTCACTTGTACTATGTGTCTCAGCACACATTTCGTTTTTTAATACTCCTTAAATCGACATTTGCAAATTTCCCAGATTCCTTATAACTACTGGGATAGAAATATTACCATTTTCATGAAAACTTTTTTTAGTTAAAATGAACATTTCCATTGCCACACAATTTGATTTGTTTTGAAATAGTAAAAAAACGCTGATTCTGAATTTCGTTATCCATAGTCTTACATGTTAGTGAAAATTGTTTTTTTAACCTTTTGCGAAATATGGACTCTCCACTGCATTTTCCGAGGGATATGTCGTGCATGTTTTTTATTTCTCATATAATTGTCTAAAAAATGGCGCTAATTGGAAGTCGCTAATAAGTGCTTTTTTAATTAAAAAATCATGCTCAAGGTCAAAAAATTGAACTTTTTTTACGTTACATATCTCGGGAACGAAACTATATAAAGGTTCTAATTTTGCAGAATTGTTGCTTATAACAATACATAAAAGTGCTCCAAATTTTATTAAAATCGGTTATTATTAACTGTGTAAATAATAATAGGCGATCGATTTATTTTCTTTAATTGCAAAAAGCGTGAAAATCAAAATATTTAATTACTAAACTGTCAGTATTGGTGTTTGACTGACAATTAAGTTGTGTTATTTGTTTTAAAATTCTGATAGGAATTTCACATCCGTTTTCGTAAAAAATTAAACGATTTTAGTTGCTTTCACAAAGAATAGTGAATAATTTGAAAATTATACGAGATGGGTGTAAGCAACCATATTACCATTCGAAAGATAATAATATTCTGTATAAGGCTGTGAAAATACTTGTATTTAAAAAATTGACTTACGATTGTTTGAAGTTAACCAAATCCACCATNAGTTTCACTTGTACTATGTGTCTCAGCACACATTTCGTTTTTTAATACTCCTTAAATCGACATTTGCAAATTTCCCAGATTCCTTATAACTACTGGGATAGAAATATTACCATTTTCATGAAAACTTTTTTTAGTTAAAATGAACATTTCCATTGCCACACAATTTGATTTGTTTTGAAATAGTAAAAAAACGCTGATTCTGAATTTCGTTATCCATAGTCTTACATGTTAGTGAAAATTGTTTTTTTAACCTTTTGCGAAATATGGACTCTCCACTGCATTTTCCGAGGGATATGTCGTGCATGTTTTTTATTTCTCATATAATTGTCTAAAAAATGGCGCTAATTGGAAGTCGCTAATAAGTGCTTTTTTAATTAAAAAATCATGCTCAAGGTCAAAAAATTGAACTTTTTTTACGTTACATATCTCGGGAACGAAACTATATAAAGGTTCTAATTTTGCAGAATTGTTGCTTATAACAATACATAAAAGTGCTCCAAATTTTATTAAAATCGGTTATTATTAACTGTGTAAATAATAATAGGCGATCGATTTATTTTCTTTAATTGCAAAAAGCGTGAAAATCAAAATATTTAATTACTAAACTGTCAGTATTGGTGTTTGACTGACAATTAAGTTGTGTTATTTGTTTTAAAATTCTGATAGGAATTTCACATCCGTTTTCGTAAAAAATTAAACGATTTTAGTTGCTTTCACAAAGAATAGTGAATAATTTGAAAATTATACGAGATGGGTGTAAGCAACCATATTACCATTCGAAAGATAATAATATTCTGTATAAGGCTGTGAAAATACTTGTATTTAAAAAATTGACTTACGATTGTTTGAAGTTAACCAAATCCACCATTAAATATCGAACACCCTGTATGTAATTAACCCTCTTTGAAAGTATGGACGAGTAGTTTTAAGATACAGCTACCTCTCCTTAGAATATCGCTCATCCAGGTTTCTTACTGTAAAATAGGCATACTTTTTCGCTATCTACTGCTTTGTACTAATTTTTTTTTTTTAAGAAAATTAAATCTGGAAAACGGTAAATTTTAGAAGTAGAAAAGCTGTATGAAAACCTACCTAAAATCATATACAGAATTCAAACCCGTCATAATATACAGGGTGTTCCATTTAAAATAAGGAAGTTGATATCAACATCCGGTATAACTCGATGTGCTACATATATACGTAGATGCATAATTGAAAATGTAAAGTAGAATTTCAGAAATTATTTAATTTTATACCTAAAAGTACTGATTTTTATTTCGTAGAAATTTATTGCTTTGTTTTGTTTAGATTCGTTGCACCAATTATTGGATTGCGCAGGTTTGGAGGAAAATGACTCACCTAATTCACCTTTATCTGACAAGTAAGTAAGATGTACTTATAATTTTTGCGGTTTACTGTTCTGATAATTTATGATAGAACTTCAGTTCTTTCTTATCGTTTAGTGAATAAATATCAATTACGCATTTAAATAATTTTGTTAATACAATAAACGTACATATCAGTGTTATAATAGGACAATCTTAGTCAGTGAAAACTTAACCAAACGGAATTAATGTTTTATGGTAATATTACCTATGTAACACCTAAAATGAAGCAAGTGTATTTGATTAGTTAAATTCAGTTTTTTTGTTCTTCATTGGAAGCAATTTGCACAATTTTCCGTCAGCATTTGGTAAGTTTATCTGTCATCCACTTGTATTAATATTAAGTTTTTAATGAAAGGTTATTACCTACTAAAATAAATAATTGGAGTTATAACTGTTAAAAGTTTACTGGTTAACCTTTAATTTGAATTTGATCAGGGACGTATCTGCGGGTAGGCCCGTTTGGCCAAAGCTCATGCATTAAAAGTTCTGGTCCACGTGCTGGCTCAATGTTAATAATAATTTAACCCTCTTTAACAAAAAATAAACATGCAGTCTAAGACGTTCATTATCTTTACTGTCCAGGTGTGTAATATATTAATATTATCATAGAACTCAAAGCATCTTGTGTTACATGAAAATTAAAACTAGGTACCTACAAAGTTACGGCCCACTCTTGGCATCTAGTTACTAACCTAAATGTGGAAGATTATTAAGATACAATTAAGGTTGGAGATAATGACTATGAGGCTCCTCCCTTATTTTCTAATAATAGATCCAATTTTACTTTATTAAATGTATTGTATAGGCAGATACTGCATTCAACTAAAAGCTTTGTATCCGTTTTAGAACTTCCGATAATCATTATACTCATTTTCAAAATGTCTATACAAAGTGGATTTAATATGTATTGATTTTCTTTCACCAATATCAAAGTGTATCTACCTGTATATACTATGTAAGTGTGATAAGTTCGTGAATGTGCACATTACTGTAAATAAAAGAAAGGGCATAACTTTGGACAAAATTCAACACTTACTTCGTTCATGTTGTCTTTTCCTACTGTAATCATATGATACAGTCATAGCAATTCACCAAACGTGGACATTACACATTTCATTGTCCGACTTTTCTCTTTTTATGTCATACAAGCGAAAATGCATAATTTGATGAGAACATTCTGTTAAACATGTCTATCTGAAAATATCTCCTGCACAGGGGCGGATCTTGAATTTGTGGGGCCCTGGGCTAATACTGCTTAGGGGTCCTACCTAATTACCCAACCAATTGCCATTTATTTATGGTAATTTAATAGTAAAATACTTGTTTTGTATACTGAAAGCGAATTTATTTAAAGTACATAACTACGTATTTTTCAGGGGCGGATCTTGAATTTGTGGGGCCCTGGGCTAATACTGCTTAGGGGTCCTACCTAATTACCCAACCAATTGCCATTTTGTCAAAAAACAGTTTTCTGTAGTGATGTAGATATATATAATATATGTTAAGTACAGGAAGAAAGTAGGACAACAAAATATTTTATTTATTTATTAAAACATTATTTATTGCAAAATAAATTGACAGGCTATGAATGGTCATGTTATATAAATTATAAAGTAACCTTTCTGCATTTTTGTGCTGCAAATTCCTTTATTTGGTCATCGCATTGTAAGTCCTTTGTTAAATCGCAATTTATGAAAAGAACTGTTAAATGATTTAGTCGATAGTTCAATATTGTTATCCTGTATTTGTATTCTATATACGACATCCTGGAGAAAGAGCGCTCCGCTTCACAGCTAGTGATCGGCAACGTTAACAAAATCTTTAAGATGGTATAGCAGTTTGGGAAAACATCAACAAATTTCTTTTCATAAATTACCCAAAAAAATTCACCGCAAGAGGTGTAAGACTCTGTCTTAGACTGCAGTAAGTAAAATTTTAACTGAATGCACTCATTCACTAAATGTAACTAACAAAATTGCGTCGGGCGATAAGCGGAGGGAAGTCCCCAGTAATAGACAATACACGGAATACACCGACCGAAAACAAGCGACGGGGAATTCCCCATTCCGTTTGATAGATGCGCACACGGGTTGATTGATCGCAGTGTTGTCAATCTTATGATCGCATTTTTATTAATTCTAGATAATTTTTATTATTGACAATATCGTCTATTGTTTTCAGTTCAGGTTGGGGGCCCTCTGTATTCATGGGGCTCTGGGCTGCAGCCCAAAAAGCCTTTAAGTAGATCCGCCCCTGCTCCTGCAGTTCTGCTTTCTCTGAAAACTGTCCTAAATTACAAAATCTTAAAAGTTGCATTTATTCGACTTATATCACTTTATTATTTATATGAACCTTCAGCTATCTCGGAAGGTATTTGTATGAATTTTCCATTACCACGTATTTTTCAAAAGGTGATGCCGCATATAATACGTAGAGTATCCCTCTATGGCTGTGTGGACGATTGTCAGATATTAAAATAAAATTATCTTTAAATTAACTGACTCATATATTAATCAATAGAGAATGATTACGGATTTACTTAAATGAGTTAACAAATTCATTAAAAAGGCAGTAATCAAAGGCTGAAATATTGGAATTTATTAGGTAAAAACATATACAATTTACCTAAAAAATGCTCATCAATGATTCGTGTATTTCGTAAAGCTCATGGTAATTCCCTTTCTCCCTTTCCCAACTTTATTAGTTTCTCATGCAATTAGTTTTAGTTAAACCACATCTTCCTTCTATTCGTTTGCCGCGAAAAAATAAGGTTCTCTTGATTTCCCGCTAAATTTTATCTTATACTGATAAATAGCTGTCCTTGACTGTTTGGAGTATAATATAAAAATCCTGTTTTCATAGCGGTTAGTAGCAGTTAGTTTTGACTTTATAGAAGTTTCACATGAAAGAAGTAAAGTTAAAGATATATATTTTTTAAAAAAAGCATGTCAGCTGTAAATAAAAAAGATAACAAATTCTAATATTAAGCTATTACAAAGTACTATAACCAATTTTTTGGTATTTATTCCATTTTTTTAACGACTATTTATTTTGCAGTTATTCATTTACACGATAATACTAATTAGATCTTAAACTACTTATTTATATCACACCGTATTATTACACACTCGGTATTCGCCTGTAATTCGCACTCTTTATTTATATTACTAATCAGCTGTTCATATACTAATTCCGGCTGTCATCCAGAGGTCTATAATTATATTATCATCGAATTTTTCACAATCTTCTTCATTCTTCTCGAAAATTTCCATTGTTAAGCAGGCAAATATGTGTCACTCAAGATGTTTTATTTTATTATCATTCGCGGCTTTAGTACAAAAGTTGCCGACCATCGGCCGATCTCTGCCTGCGGGCATACTCAAGAACCGTCGAGGATCAATGTATTCATTATCACGTAAAATGCTCTTGTGTGTAGCACTGCTCCCACCTTAGGGATAGTACGTCCCGGATCATGTTCTGTTCGTCCTTCGAAGGAACCTGTTGGTACCTGCGGCTCTGACCCCTTTTTACTTCAAATGGGAGTAGCAGTCCAGGCTACTGAACTGAGCGGGTTCTCGTTGTAGATTGCAGGTGCTTAACACATCATTCTCCAGCGCTCGGGCCAATCTATCGGCAGAAAATATTGGCCTGTAGATATACTCAAGAACTGTCGGAAATTAATGTTTATGCCACCGGCAAGAATTCAATTGCTTCTTTTAAAATAAGAACGTTTTCCATTCGAGATGATCAGAAGCCTGGAAAATCCATTTTCGTGTCCACCCTTTAAACATCAATGTAGTCTATTGGGTATTGAAAAGATTTTTGCGAAATGGATTTAAAAATGCTCGAATGAGAATCGGAAAGGAACTCGTATTGTAACTTCGCGTTCAATCTCTGCCCAATATAAAGCGAATCCGAAGTTGACACCATGGATGAAACCTAATTACTTTTTTGTAAGACCGTGGGGTAAAACAATAGTCAATGGAATGAAAGATAAAAAATGTTTCGGGTTCAAAAATCGGCAAGAAACGCTTTTGGTTCAGTGTTTTGAGGTAACTCATTGATTATTATCTGAAATAGGAGAAAATAATAACAAAGAGAATATTAGAACTGCTAGATCGCCTTCGAGATTCACCTGACTTGGCTCCATCTGGCTACTATCTATTTTCCAAACTGAAGCTGTAGAAAGCTAGATAGTAGACCAGGAAGAAGACATCCCCTCTGTTCATTTCTGTAGTAATGTCATCAGATGACCCACCTCATACAAATTTGCATCACAGTGATTTTTCTTCTTTAATAAATGATATCTTAATACTGTCTTTCTCAATTTGAGTCTGAATGAAAAGTCGTTAACGTTTTTCTAGTTTCCAAAGTCCAACACATTTCCTATTATTTAAACGACGTTTGGGCTTAAGAATTGTGACTTTAGACACTAAAACTTGTGCTTAGAAGAATTATTAAAATCAGATTAAATGAGCAATACCAACACTTAACATGCAAAACCAAGACCAAGATCGGGACTATATCAGCAAGAACAAGACCAAAACTAAGACTAGAAGTATTTGAGCAAGACCAAGACCAAGAATGAGTAAGCAAGAGCAAGACCAATATCAAGACTGGTATAGTCTTTTTTTATTAGATTATTCTCGAGGAAGGGAAATCTTCAAAAGACACCCCCTGAAGGGAGGTAGTGTCGAATTTTTACCGACTAAAACCCCTCCTCGAGTGGGGAGATAAACCCTGAGGGTTACTCATCCCCGAGAAACGAATGGAAGGTTGGGATTTGGAAGAGGAATGAGAAGGGAAATTTGTTAAGCATGGGTGAGATTCGGGGGGGGGGGACTGTCGGAGTAGGTGGTCCACCTCGAGGTAGGACACTCGCGCTAAAAAGCGAAGCTACGAGTGAGCAAGAGGGAGTGGCTCATTGTAGAAGGTGACAGGGCCTTCGGAAACGGTCGTTTGGCTTCGGGGCCAAGTTGGAGAGTGTCGAAAC